CCTGCCTGTCCTTCCTGGGATAGAAGGTACCTGTCTTCAGAGTCAAAAGTTTGACTCCTCGCCCTAAATGAGGCTGAGGAAATGCCTTTCCTTCATTTCTGAAGACTCGGTCCTATTAAGAGGATGACTTCAAACAAACACAAGTCATTTTCTGTAAATCACTTTACTTAAGACATGGGCTTTGAATTCAGAGAGATGTTTGAATTCTGGCTCTTCAAATTACAGTGGTGAAACTTGTGCACATCATAAAATGCTCAAAAGAGGCCAGCAGGTGTCAAATCAGGCTGTGCCAGGGTGTTTGTTTTGAAACTTGAAGCGAATGGGATACTGTTGAAGTATTTTAATTGGAGGAGTGATACAAGCAGATCTGCATTTTAGAGAGATCTAGAGTGGCTCACTACTATTTTTGGGTTGCCAGCCTATTTGAAACTTTGAGGAAAACCACAATTCCTTTTTCTATAAAAATGCAAAAAATGCACATATGCAATAACATAGTATTAAATACAATTTCAAGAAGCTTCTGAAAACCATGGACCCTAGTCTACAAACTCTGAAGTATAGAATTTTTTTTCTTCTGGAGTTACATGAGTGGATTGGGAAAAGGTGAGAGACTTGAACATGTTCATCTGCTGAGGGACAGAGCCAGTGGAGAGGGACAGAGCCTCTCTCTACTGTCCCATGCTGCCTACTGTCTCTACTATCCTGTAATTTCTTCATCCGTAAGGAGGCAGGAAGAATTCAGTCTCCTCTAGAAAGAAGGAGATGAGATCAACTCAGGCTGTAGGATGGATCCTGTCAGTGCATCAAGAAAGAAGGAAGACTGGGTGCAGGAACGGATAACAATGGGAGGTGGAGGGGATATTTATGGGATTTTTCTCTTCTTTGTTTCTGCGTAGAAAGTGAGGTGATTGGCGGAGAATGAAAGGTGAGAATGAAGAAGGTTTGGGAAAAGTAGAGGTTTGGATTAACTGCTGAGGGAAGTGAGGAAAGATGCTGAATAGTAGCATGAGAAACAGGCATGAGAATGGGGAGGGCTCAGCTCAATCAGAGATCACGGATTTGGAGTGGCTCCCGTCCTTGGCAAAGTGTTATTTTTCTCCAGAATCTCTCAGCACGCTGCTGTAGAGCATGTAAGTGGTATTTTGCAGAGAGAAGTATCATTTCATTGTGTACGATACAAAGTGAGAGTAGCGATTTGGTTGATAATTTGCATGCACACGCATGGAATAATTTGAATATATGTATGTATATACCTTGGTCTTGCTGTGGCCTGACTCATGTTTCTATCAGCAAAAGATCCAATCTGACCCTTGGGGCTGTGTTCTATCCTATGGAAAAATGACATGGCAGAAGAGCTTAAACCACCCTCCTTGACCCCATGCTTCCTTCCCTCTCACTTCTCTGTGGGGTCAGAATTCTAGGGAATTTCTGAGCTAGCAGATTCCACTGTTCTTGCCACAAATTTAAACACACAAGTTATTCCAGGAGGTACTGGATGAATTCCCTTTTGCCTTATGAAGTAGCTAATTTTTTCTCTGTAGGATCTGAGACTTCATGAAAAAAAGTGAGAGGAAACAATGGAAATCAGATGCATTTGTAATGCCTACGTGGCCAGTGCTGTGAAACTCTTTATAAAGTTAAAATATGATCAATATCCTTCTGGTCATAATACTTCTAATTTTTCACTTCCTCTAGTCTTTCTTTTGCATCTTTAGGGGATATTATCAGAGTTATGAACTATGTTTCATTACAAATGCTCTGGGACACAGATATTTGGTAAAATAAGCATTGGTTGGTAAAGGACATGGTTGTCCTCATCTGGATTGAGAGGTGACTGGAGGAAAGTCAATCCTGGCATTCAGAAGTGCCACTTCTCTGAATCCCCCAGATATCATAAGGTTGAACTTTGCCAGTCCATCAGTCTGTGGGAAGTGAGTTGTGCGGGTCTAGGGTGTGAAAAGCTGGTAGCTGAAGTCCAGGCGTATTATTTTCTCTGGTCACTGCTGTTACTAAATTTTTCTCATTGGACTGGATAGAAAATTTATAGGAAGTTCAGACTTTGCACATCTCTGTTGAAAGAGTCTCTATTAACAGGCTACCATTATCCCCTATGGTGCTAGCCCTTCCCTCTGCGCACCCACTGCAGGATTTGGTGCATGGAGCTTGGACTGGAGTCCGGCCCATTAACCTCCTCAGCCAGGCTCCCCTGGGCAAGTGTACACAGTGACCCTCATTTCCTACTTTCTCTCATTCTTCTGCTACCGTCCAAACAGCACCATTTCACAGAAGCCACATGATACCCAGCGGTGGGTTTCAGAGCACAGTCGGATTCAGCAATGCCCATTACCCACTAACTTCCTCTGAGATGGGTGGTCATGATAATGAGATCATATCTCTGAAGTGTTCAGGGATATAAAGTGTTAACAATAGTAATTAATATTTCATTGCAAAAGCTGAATACCAAACTCCAATCACCTGTTAAGTCATTCCTGCACCTCTTCAGTTTTGAGGTCTCGCACCCATCTGTCACTCTCCTTATGGCCTCATTGCCATCTCACTGTCCACTCCCTCCTCATGGACCTTACCTCCTCATCCACCTAGATCTCGGGATATCACTATACTCACTCCCTCGAAAGCTCTCAACTCCCTTGGCCCTTCTCCCTCTGTCCTACTTGCCTATCACAACTCCAGCTCTGATTAACTCCCACACTCTTCCCAGTAGGGAAGGAGAAATTAGTGATGGAGGAGAGATAAAGAGTAACTGCAAAGTCTTTGAGTAGGTGAAAGGGTATGGCACCCATGACACAAGAGGAGAGGAGGCCTCAGACATGTACATGGACAGTGTATTTATTAGAACAGGGATTAGTGGAGAGGGCATGTGCTCAGATCCAGACAGACAGGCAGATTCGGTGGTAAAATGAGCGAGTTCTCACCAGAGAGTGGGAGTTAATCAGAGCTGGAGTTGTGATAGGCAAGTAGGACAGAGGGAGAAGGGCCAAGGGAGTTGAGACTTTTCTAGAGAGTGACTATAGTGATGTATCAGGCCTAAAAATCAAGTTTGAATGGTACATAAAGAAGAGGTTTCTCTGTGCCTTCCAAAAGTTTATAACACTATTAACCAGACTTTGTTGCACAATTCACAACTTAAAAATGTTATGAGAGGACATCAATAAGAAGCTGACCTTTCAGGTGTAAAGATTGAACTTCTCATTGAATTAAAACAGCAAAGGGTGGCAAATCAAATGGAACATTAGCATCTTTCTTCCTGTCTTAATTGGCATTAAATTCTCCACCTCTCTCACCTCTAGGGTGAAGCTTTTCTGCCCTTCTCATCAGAGCTGCTCTCTGAGCATCAGACTGGCAGCTTGCCACATCTGACCCATGGAGAGGTTTGTTTTCCCCATGGTGTTACCTATAAGCTGATTTTTAAAATTTTAATTAGCTGCCAGCACATAGAAATCTGGATTTCCAGCTTTTCTGGGGCTATTAGAACTGGCAACAGTGGGTCTGCATGTGCCCGTGGCAGCAGTCAGCTGGAGTGAGGAGGGGCTGGCCCCTTTAGACAGGGTATGCGTGTTCTAGTTTTCCACTCCCTTCCTCCCTTACTGATACCCCACACCTAGGTCTGATATCTGTTGTCATTTGTCATATGATTACATAGCATTTTTCTTATATCTGGTGTAGTGGGCTGAAGGACAGCCCCCCAAAAGATATGTCCATGCCCTAATTCCCAGAACCTGTGAATTACCCTCTTTGGAAAAAGGGTCTTTGCAGATGTCATTGAGGTTGAGGATCTTGAGATGAAGAGACATCCTTGACTGCCCGGGTGAGGCCTAAATCCACTGTTGGGTACTTTTAAGAGAGATCACAGAGGAGACAGACAGAGAGGACACATTCACACAGAGGAGAAGGCATTGTGAAGGCAGAGACAGAAATAGGAATGATGTGAGCTGGAGCCAAAGAAGCCAAGGAAAGCTGATAGCCACCAGAGACGGGAAAGGAAGGAAAGACCCTTCTCCGGAGCCTGCAGAGGAAGTGAAGCCCTGCTGACATCTTCACTTTGGACTTGTAGCCTCCAGAGCTGTGAGAGAGTACAGTTCTGTTGTTTTATGCCACTCAATTTGTGGTATTTTGTTATGACAGCCCTAAGATGTCTCATTAGGCAATGGAAAAAGTCAGAGTTCATGATAAAGAATGTGGATTGCAACCACATAATTCATGTGAAAAGTAGGGATAATGTCTCCAAAAGAATGAGTTCAGTAAGAGAAAAGAAAAAGAGGGAGAGAGGAGACCCAAGTGCTGGACATGCTGGACATAAGGAATACCCCTTATTAGGAAGGATAAGAAGAGAATGAGAATATGGCCAAGGAGTGGAGAAGTAAGAACACGGTCATGTTTGCTGCGTGCTGACCTAGTACAAAACGGAGATGCAAACAGGCTGTAAATGAGTCCAAGTGTGTTCAATGTGTTCGAGATACTAAATGACTCATTTGAGGAATTTGCCACTAAAGGGAGAAAAACTCTGAAAGTGTGTAGAAATGGCAGTATTTCACGGGGATGAGTGGTGTGTTAGCTTTGGCTGCTTGTTTTTGTTTTTGTTTCTCTTTTTCTTTTTTTAAGATATATGGAAAATATAGTTGAAGAGAAAAGGAAATGTTTTCTTTCCTCTCTATTCTTTTATTCCGAGTTTGAGATAAACATTGGTAAATTTAAGACTAATAATTAAATTGTGAGTATTAAAATAATACATTATTAAATCTTTCAAGTCATTGGGATACAGTTGGTGCAATTCCTAATAGTAGTTTGCCACAAAGTAAATATTATAAACAAAAATTGAACGTGTATTATTTCCCAATCCAGCTTTAGATATTGCTTGCCTATTATGTTTACAATAGACATTCAGGGGCAGTTAATGAGCTGCATAATTTTTGCTTACTATTTATAATTAGAGGAATATTCACATAGTAAAAATAAAGATATAATGTTCTTTGTTCCTCAAGACAGAAAATACAGTGGAAGGATTTGGAAAGGACTGTCACCTCTGCCTAGTACTGCACTGTGTAAGTACATGAATTTCGGAATCATAATTTAGTAATTATACATATCAAATTTAACTTTGATAGTAATGCATAAGGCATATTTGAGATTAGTAATAGTAGCTGACATCTATTAAGTGTTCACTGTGTTGGGCTTTACACAAATTTATTCGTTTATTTCCTCATGATAATCCTAATAGGTAGTACAATTATCATTCCCATGTTACGAATGAGGAAATTAAAGCACAGAGAGGTCAAGGATATTACCTAAATCACACAGCTAGAGAGTGTTGAACCTTGCTTCAAATGCAGGCAGTCTGACTCCAGAGTCTGCACTAGCAACCACAAAGATCTAAAATGCAAATCTTAAATGAAAATACAATAATTTTAATGTACTCAAATACGACAGCTATGAATTGATCTAGGCACTGGAATTTTCACATTAGCTTGTGTGATCAAGCGATTAGAACATCAGAATTAACATATGCATCAAATTTAGGATACATTAAACAAAGTCACAGTTATTTTTAATGTGTTTATGATTCATTATTTTTTTTTCAAAATGTTGACAGCTCACCTGACTTTTACTTATAAAGAAGGCAAGAAGAGTTTCAAAGGAATAAAACCTCCTCATAATATAGTTTATTAAGATGTGTTTATTTACACTGCAAGTTACACTGCATTCCTCAATGCCTAGCAATCATATACCATCAAAATTTACTATATGTCCATTGCTGATGATAGACATATCAGTGCATAAGTCCCTCCGAATACACACCCCCCCAAGATCTATGATCTTGCATAATATAATAGAATATAAATGTATTTCTCATGGAAAAAATATAGTGTGCATGGAAAGGCTTCTGCTGTGTTTGATGGGATTTGAATTCTGCCAATTGACAGGCATTCACGGTTCAAGAGACCCATGCATTTAGCTAAGGATGGAGTTTGGCTCTATTTTAAACAGCATCCTGAGGGATTATTGTCCTCATAACAGTACAGTATGAGAGCGATTTTAAGTTCATAATTGTATCTAGCATTGGTGATCCATTATTATCCTCTGAAAGCAGGCATCTGCTACCTAGTTTTTAAGAGTTATGACAAAACTGATTACAAAATTGTGAACATTAATATAATAGCTTTTATCAAACATTCAAATAATTGCAAGTACTAAGATTAACACCACAGCTAATAGCAATTAACAATGAAATAAATACTAAAACAGAAAGCTTGGAGCAAATGTCACAGTTTGTCAGACCAATTAGTTGCTAAGTCCTGTTGATTCTGCCCCCATCACTCCATCACACTCCTGCCTCCCTCTCTGTTCCCTCTGCCACCTCTCTCACTTGGGGTCCAGGGCCTCAGAAAACGAACTTCTGGAAAAGTGTGCTGGCCTCATATCTGCCTCCCAGAACATCCCACTTCCAACCTCTCCCTGCTGTAATCCATTCATATACAGTTCCCAGAAATCTTCCAGAACCACACTGCTCTGATTACTTCACTCCTCCACACAAACCCCTTCCATGATTCCCATTGCTTGCGGAATGAAGACACCTTCTCCAGTTTATCATGCAGGCACTCCACGGACTGGCCGTGACCGAAATCCCAACCCTGTTTTCCACATTTGCTCTTCCCTGATCCTTCAGTCAAAACAACTTCCTTTCCTCCACATGCACTCTAAGCTTTTCATCTCTAGAGCTTTGCTTACAAGACCTCATTACTAAGAATGCCTTTTCCTCTCCATCTCTGTATTAACCCCTTCACCCTAGGGCTGAGAGAGCTGGTGAGTTTAACACCAATTAAAACAAGAAGAAGGATGCTAATGTTACCTTTGATTTACCACTCTTTGCTGTTTTAATTCAATGAGAAGCTCAATCTCTACACCTGAAAGGTCAGTTTCTTGTTGATGTCCTCTCACAAAATTTTTAAGTTGCGAATTGTTCAACACTGCATGGTTAATAGTGTCTAAAACTTTTGGAAGGCAGACACAAACCTCTTCTTTACATACCATTCAAATTTGATTTTTAGGTTTGATTCTTCTTCTTCATGTTTTTGGCAGCAGAGTAAATATCAATCTGACCTAATGTCCCAGCCATACTGAAATATATGCAGTGTCCTGAATACGCTGTGCTCCCCCTCATAGTCACTCCTTTCCAGCACTGGTCCTGTGCACTCGCTCTCAATTCCTATTGGCTCAGCTAAGACGTAACTTTCTCCATCAGCCTGTCCTAGGGCTCTAGCCTGTGTTGGCTGCCTCTCTTATTAAACCCTGGAACGGTGGTTCTCAGTGACGGCCGTACGGTCTCCTGGGGAATAGTTTGAAATTAATGGAGACTTTTTAATAATTGAGGTGTTAATGGAATTTTGTCTGAGGGGGACCGATATGCTGGCATCCTGCAATTCAAGGCACAGTCTCACACAATGAAGAACTGTCCTGCATTTGTATGACTCTCGAATGTCATGCTGGACATTTCCACAGATACGTATCAACCTAGTACCTAGTCTAGAACAGAACTCATTTTACATATAAACACAATGCAGTTTTTACGTCATTGAAATAAACTCTGAATTTTCTTGGAAAGCAACTACTAAGTAAATCTAATAAAGATGATACTGTTTTTGTTCAGAACTTTCCTGAGAGTTGTTCACCGTTTCAGAAGATCATATCACTGACGGCAATGATGCCTGTGGTTTCTGAGGCCCGTGCAACATACCTGAATGAGCCTGCATTTGTGGCTGTCTACTTTACGGTGGTTCTAAGTGCATTAGTCAGTTCAGGCTGTCATAACAAAATGCCATAGCCTGGGTGGCTGGAACAGTGGACGTTTATTTCTCTCAGTTCTGGAGGCTTGGAAGTCCAGCATCAAGGTGCCGGCTGGTTTGCTTTCTGGTGAGGGCTGTCCTCCTTGCTTGCGGATGGCTGCTTCTTGCTGTGTCCTCACAGGGCGTAGTGGGAGAGGGAGAGCCAGCTCTCAGAAGTCTCCTTGCATAAGGACACTAATCCTATCAGATCAGAGCCCCTCTGTCACACGAACTCATTTAATCCTAGTTACTTCCTTACTCCAAATACAGTCACATTGGCTTAGAGCTTCAACATACGAATTTTGGACGGACACAAGTCAGTCCACAGCACTAGGTATGGGTAGAAATATGCAAGCATCTAACTGATTCATAATATCTTCTACTGCTGTCTTGCCTGAACATTTGCATATTTAACTTCTTCTAATTTTATTATAAATTCTTTTCCTTTTACATCCCCTTTATATTAATTAGACTTAAGGCGTATATTAGTATTTCATAAAGGTATGTTTTTGGTTTCTTTTTTTTTTAAAGATTTTTTTTTTTTCCTTTTTCTCCCCAAAGCCCTTCAGTACATAGTTGTATATTTTTAGTTGTGGGTGTTTCTAGTTATGGCCTGTGGGATGCCGCCTCAGCATGGCTTGATGAGCGGTGCCATCTCCGAGCCCAGGATTTGAACCAGCGAAATCCTTGGCCGCAGAAGCAGAGTGCGCAAGGTTAACCACTCGGCCATGGGGCCGGCCCCTATATTAGTATTTCAAAAAGTATGTGTGCAGATAAACTGCATTATCTTCCAATTTTATTTCAGGATAGTAAAGGGAGCATTATGAAATACGATAGGAAGGGCTGGTAGGGTGGATGACCACTATCCAAGTCCAACATAACCAGACTGTGCTGTCATTAGCCAGTTGCTTATCTGTTCCCTGTACTAGGCTGTGCATGCCGTGGGGTCAGAGGCAATGTCCTGTTCACTGATGTATCTTCCAATCCTATTATGGTACAAAGCTTATAGGAGGCTCTCAACAAATTTTTGGTAACTGACAGAATAAGCAAGTGAATGGATAGATGCGTATAAACACCATTCTGATGTCAAACTCCACATCTTCAAAGATGCTTGGATGGCCAGAACACCACTGAGGATTAACAATACTCCTTTTTACTAAAATAATCTCTAACAACTGGCATAAAACAGTGACTGAACCAATCTTCAAAAGTATTATTCTTTCTTCCACATTAGGGCTGCACTTTCATAAAACTAGAGAAAGAAGTTTTATCTAAATCATCTGTAGCACTGGGACCAAAAGCAGAGTGAAACTTGTGAATGACTCTCTGGCATGGCTTCTTCTCTGGCAAAGTTCTTCCTTGAAACTATTTCATTTTTGTTTTTTTGAGGAAGATTAGCCCTGAGCGAACATCTGTCCCCAATCCTCCTCTTTTTGCTGAGGAAGCATGGCCCTGAGCTAATATCCATGCCCATCTTCCTCTACTTTGTATGTGGGACGCCTGCCACAGCATGGCTTGCCAAGTGGTGCCATGTCGGCATCCGGGTTCCAAACCGGCAAACCCGAGGCCGCCAAAGCAGAATGTGTGAACTTAATCGCTGCGCCACTGGGCTGGCCCTGAAAATATATATTGTTTTCCTTCAGAAAGACTCTACTTTTGTCAACAGGAGTGACTTGCCCAGTGTAATTCACCCTTCTCGGTGGGTTTAGCTTGTGATGTAACCAACGTGGCCTTCTCTTCAGTCCTGCCACTTGGTCTGGAGCCCCTAATATTATGCAAATTGGCCCTGGCTTTAAAAACTAGATCATTTTCCCTGAAAATCCAGAATGAGAACTTTTCTCTGTGTTTTCTTTAGACATGCATCAAGACTCCCAGAGTTCTTCACAGGCTGGGCAAGCCTATACTGTTGATTTTGACACTCTAGTTAAATAGTTAATATTTTTTTCGTCCCAAACAATAAATCAATAGGGTCTTGCTGCATGGCCATCATAACTGACCACCCACACGCTGAATCCACATTGCTCACAAATTTTTATCTTGCTTTATGGTAGTCACTTCGCGAGTGAAAAGATACTATTAATTCAGCTGACACCTCCCCTTTTACAGAATTCTTATTTTCTTTTATGGATAAAACTTTGCTCGTTAGAATGGCTAGGGGCCTGGGGAAGGCACAGCACCTGGAAGGTGTTGCTCCCTGAGGACAAAGTGATGGGGCCGAGGACTAGATTAAACTTCACTTTCCCCAGGGCTGTCTGTGGCAGGAAGATTGCATATAGAAAACTAGGGCCTAAGAAGCCTGGCTCTGTGTATGGCCCAGGTGGTAACGAACTAGTCAGCAACTGTTGACCGTTTGCCTCCTCTGTAGACTAAGTAGGTTTATTTTTCCTTGAATGAGTTTACCAAAAGTAACCAACCTCACAAGAGACTGAGCCAGAACCACCCAGCTCAGCAACTCCCAGATTCCTGACCCACAGAAACTGTGAGATAAATACTATAGTCTGAATGTGTCCCCCCAGATTTGTATGTTGAAATCCTAACGCCCAAGGTGATTGGTGTTAGGAGGTGGGGCCTTTGGGAGGAAATTAGGTCACGAGAGCAGAGCTCTCATGAATGGAATTAGTGCCTTTGTAAAAGAGGCTCCATAGAGATCCCTAGACCCTTGCATCATGTGAGGATGCAAAGAGATGACCCAGCTGAGGGCCTCACCCAACCGTGTTGATACCCTCGGACTTCCAGCCTCCAGAACTGTGAGAAATAAATTTGTGCTTTTTCTAAGCTACCCAGTCTGTGTTATTTTGTTATAGCAGTTGGAACCAACTAAGACAATAATACATGTCTGTTGTTTAGGTGCTAAAGTTTGGGACAATTTATTACATAGCAATAGATAACTAATACCTATCAGTTAATAATTCTGTGTATTAAATTTTCCCCATTCAAATTGCTGGTGTGCTTTCTGTTTCCTGACTTTTATAAACATGCAGATAAACAAAAGCGAAATCTAAAAAGGAATAATAATGTTTACTGGGGAAAAAACTCCAAAATTACCTCTCATTGGAGGGTTGATATTATTTATGAGTCCAGATAAAATAATGCCAAACTAAAGTTATTATTTCAAGATATTGATCTGTTTAAGGGTAATTTTATGTGCTCTGTACCTATGAAATTTGATAAATAGATATTACCAAATGCCAGTCAAAAATTTATTCTAATTAAATCACTTAAATGAATTCATTTAGAATCTCCAACGGAAAAGCACATACAAAAAAAGATATATATAGCCATAATGGAAAACAGTATGGAGGTTGCTCAAAAAGTTAAGAATGAACTATCATATGATCCAGCAATCCTACTTCTAGGTATGTATCCAAAGAAAATACAATCAATATCTCAAAGAGATATCTGCACTCCCGTGTTCATTGCAGCATTACCTACAACAGCCAAGATATGGAAACAACCTAATGGAGAAAGAAAATAAAGGATGTGTATACCATGGGCTATTATTCAGCTTTAATAAAGGAGAAAATTCTGCCATTTTGTGACAACTTGGATAAACCTGGGAGAATCTAAAAAAAAATTGAATTCATAGTAACAGAGAATGGAACGGTGGTTGCCAGGGCCTGGGGGGAGGATGAAAAGGGGAGATGTTTGTCAAAGGGTATGAACTTCCTGTTACAAGACGAATAAGTTTTGAAGATCTAATGTACAGTATGGTGACTGTAGCTAATAATAATGCATTGTATACTTGACATTTGCTGAGAGTAGATCTCAAGTGTTCTCACCACAAAAAGAATGGGAATTATTTGAAGTGATTACATGTTAATTAGCTTGATTGTGGTAATCATTTCACAATGTACACATAAATTTGATATACACTGTATGTCAAAACATCACATTGTACAACCTAAATAAATACAATTTTTATTTGTCAATCATATCTCAGTAAAGCTGGGGAAAACATATATAATATATGTCTATATTTTAAAAAGGTATATATATGTACACACACATTCATATATATATATAAAATGAAAGAAGTACAACACCCAACTATCAGTCATTTAAATAAAAGGACGTCTTCTGCTCTCAAGTTGAAGAAAACAAATTGCCCGAGTGATGCTATCTGTATCAGCTTGTCGGCTTTAGCAGACCCTCAGCATTTCATCCTATACAGCTGTACTTTTTGATATCAGCTGTAAGGTTATTGACAGCGCTAGTATCTGATCCCTGCACTGCAGTCAGAAAATGGCTTTCAGAGGTTGAGGTTCTGGACCTTACAATTTAAACACTTTATTTTTGGAGGAGATGGAAAGTCAGTTTTACAGTTTCTATAGAACTGGAAGTCTGTCCCCCAAAATGACTCCTGGCCATTTATCCATTAGTCAGCCCAAACTTGAGAAGTAGTTGCTCTTCCAATCACGAGCAAGTAGGGAGGGGACCGTGGAGACGGCTATTGGTTGGACTTCAGGTAGTAGAGAAAGGCCGCGATTGGCTGGTGTCATGTATAACGCTGATCACCGTTACAAAACGGCATAGAAAGCAACGATTTCAGATTGCCAAAGAAAGAGATTGAGGATTTATGGGAGAATATAGTGGCAACCAAGAGGATAAGTCCTACCAAAGGTGAACCTAGTAAGTGGTGGGGCTAAGATTTAAACTCAGACGCTCTTGCCCCACGGTGCTTGCTCGTAATAGTTACAGGGGTCTGAGGAAAGGAGTATCAGGGGAGGCAAGGTAGAGAATGATCTAGCCATTAAGACCCGAGTTAAAAGCCCCCTTCCTCCGCGAAACCTTGATGAATCATTTTAGCTGGAGGTAACCCCCGCCCCGTTCTGAACGACTGAGTGTCAACTCCAGGACTCCTGAGACGTTTATCGTCAGCGGCCACATAATACAGCTATTTGTGTGCACAGCTCCTAAATCCCTTGAGATTTATTCAATTGAGGTATTCTAAAAATTTCATGCATAATTTGAAATTTTACAAGTCCAATTTTAAATGGATTGCAAAGATTACTATTTAAAGCAACTCTGACAATATCTATCCAATTACAAATGGATACAACCTTTGGTCCAGCAATCCCATTTCTGGGAATTTATTTTACAGAGGCACTTGCAAAATGATAGATTTTCAAGGTTATTTTTTGCAGCATTGTTTGTCATAGCAAAAAAAACTGATGATACTTCTCTGGGAGTCATAAATGCTTCCTCAAATATTTCCATTTCTTCCCCCTGGGTATGATTGCTTTTCCTGGTTCCTTTGTGGTTGGGTAGGGCCATGTGATGCGTTGTGAACAGAAATGATATGTGTCCCTTTGAGGAAGGGTACTTAATGGCCAATGTGGGACCCTCCAGAGCCTTTTTCCCTCTGCCATAGTAACTGGCAATGTTGGAGAAGAAGGCTGCTCCATCAGCCTGGGTCAGATATCAGAAGATACCGAACAGAGCACCTGGCCAAACTGCAATTGACATATAGCATGAGTGAGAGAACATCTTTTGTTTTTAAAAGCCACAAAGATTTTTGTCACCACGGTGAAGCCCAAAAACTTTGAACTCAAAGTGACAGCTTCTTGATAGGGAGTTTTAGGGATTATGGCAGAAAGTTGGAAAGAAAGCTTTAGTGGGGATAGGCTTTCCAGGTGTCACTTAAACAATTCACAATTAAGCTACTAATAAAGTCTCAGATAAAATGTGAGGCCTGGAAGCTTTTGCCACCTATCAAATCCTAATCCGAGCTAAATCTGGAAGTTTCAAAAATGTAGAACACATTGTATTAATTCATATTTCTTGTAATTTGAAGTTATCTAAATTAAACAATTATTACCAGAATGTACTTTTCATTTTTAAATATTCATGGTTGTTTTGCACTCAAGTTTCTTACCACTTAACACCCTAAGTGATGTTAGTCCCATGACACCAATTGACAGATAATTGCAGGTAAGGAATTGATTTTTCAAATTTATTGAGATGTCTGACATACTTGTATAGGAACACAATAGAATGTGAACTTTAATATGCAGGAATTTTTTATTTTTTAAAAATGTTGTTCCTTAGATGGTTTATTTTAGAGACCTCTTTTTTAGAATGTGAAAGCCATTATGCTGTGAAAGGAGTGAACATTTCCCCCTCAGTAACTCACATTTTTATATACATTAATCATTACCCAAGAAATGGTCAATTACCAGCCCTGTCCCTTCTCCCAGCTCATTAACTCTGAGGCTTATTTTTTTCTAGGCTCTGAATATTCATCAAGTTCAAATCAGCTTTATGCTACTTTGCTTTATGCTACTTTGCCTGAATCATTTCTTATTTCAGTTTGAGCTTTTGAACTCCTTTCTTATACCTAGCATCAATTTTTTTCTCCCACAAACAAAAATGCTGTTTGATTGAAAATATCAATAATTGCAATTGAGCCAAATCCATTTTCCTCTGTACACTACATCCTGCTCTAAATTGTAGTCAGCAATATCTCGGTCCAACTGCCTTCAGTGATCATTAAACGGGTCCTTTTCTTTCCCTTAGAACTCTCATCAAAGGAGTCAGGATTGACAGGATTCTTACTCGGGGATGGAAAATTCCAGCTGCATTATGCATGCCGCGTAAAGCGGGGCATCAAAACTTCTTCTGGATCCTCCCTGTTTTCCTTGATTAAAAGCCGTTTTTAAATTGGATGGGTGGGTACAGTCAAGTGACACGTAAAGCGTTTCTTAATGATATAGGAACAAAACTTTAAAAATGTAGCAACAATGCCGAAACGTCAAACCAATATGCAGCTTTTTAAATCAAATGTGCATTTAGAAATCAATCTTTATTTCTGGGAAAGTCAACTGTTCTTAAAAAATACCTTTGTCTTTGTTTATGCTGTACTGTCGCGTTTGTAGTTGAATTACCGAGTGAAACACATTCACCAGAAGGATGTTTTATGCACAGGATTAAAAAAAAATTGTATCTCAGCAATTTGGGTATTTATATATAACAAATGATTGTAGAGTCCTATCTCTATTATTTGTTTCAAAAAAGAGAAATAAATAAAATATACGAATTCTGTTATCCATTTCTCCTTTTTCTATTTACTAACATGTTATTTTTGTACTTTCCCTTGCTATTTCTTGACAGTTTAGTTTTTTTCTGGCCACCTCTAGGGGGCAATTTAACCTAAATTATCCTTTGGTTGAATGATAAACAGACAACTGTACTAGAAAAATTATGTCAAATGACATTACACAGAATCATTATTGTCGCAAGCAAATTTGGTGGAATTTGCTTCTGTTCAGGGTATAAACTTGAATGCAGTCATTATTTGTGATTTCAGGTTCTCAAGATCTGTGGGGACATAAAATTATGATGCTTGTCTGGAGGCAGAGAAGATGAAGAGGGCACAGACCAATCTTATATAATGAATACTGCCTGCTGAAGTTCTCCATTTGCTCTCAGGCCACAGCTGGGCATTTGGGAAGATGCGGAAGCAAAAGTCAGAGGTGCACCACCACACACACCTACACCTATTTCTCTCGCTCAGCGTAAGGACTCCAGTTTACTTGATCTTAAACAAGAAACCTGGTTAGCATGTTCACCTTGACACTGTCTTGGTAAACACTTAGTTCTATTTCCAAATTCGGTCAAGTCTTCCTTCATGGACTTGGTTCATTCCTTACCTAGACTGTTATCTCAGGTCTTTGTGTCTTGTCATTCTTCTTAACACATCTGTCAAAGTTATCTTCCCTGTTTTCTGCTTTGAACTAATAAACTACAAGGAAAGTATCCTTGTTCTTTAGCATTGTGTGCATCTATGTCTTGTATAGATATAAAGTGGATTGTGATATATCCTGACATGATTAGCTGGTTGAGACTATAAAGAATGGACCCATCCCTGTGAGCAAGATCTCTCATTGTTATTATAAAGGCAAGTAGTGGATTCCCAACAGGAGGTCAGTCATGGGAGGCAGACTGACAGCAGATAGGAGAGGGAGTTTGAGAATGCAAGACAAGCAGCTATTTAGGCACAAACTTTATTTTGGGGGCTGTGGGGGGTGGGATGAGAAGGGTCACCGAGCTGATACCCACCACAGGACCCAGAATATACTGGGTTCTGCAAGCTCTAGAGAAGGACTCGTCTCTTATAAGTTAGGTTTTCTGGTTTATTCCTTGTTATATTCAAATCATTACTGAAGCCTCATTCCAGACTTTTCACAGCTGAGCTACAGAGTCCAGCTTGGGCCAGAGTTTTCCGGAGGAAGTAAAAGCCCCATGAGAACAGCATCCACCCCTGAAAGGGATGATAAATTGGGTGGAAGAAAAAGAGGTATTTGCCTTGCCTACTTCCTTTCCGCCACATCTAGAAGATTCATAGTTAGCAGTTCCTCCCCTGAACGGTGAGCTCTGAAGAAGGCCAGGCACGTGTTAACGAATACTGTCACTGTCAAGTGAGACATCCAAACCGGAAACCTTGAAATCTTCTGGGCTTCTCCCTTTCCTATGCCTTTTACAACCAATTGAATTCTTAAATATTCTCCTGTCCATCCTCACTGCCATCTTTTTAGTTCGGATCTTTTCCAGGTATTACTTAGCCTTTGAGGTTAAAATGTAACACACATTTATGTGTATCAGAAAGCATGAAGATTCTTTATTTCTCTTTATTATTCTTAAGCCTCTCTCTCATTAGTCTGGAAACTATAACAAACTCTCAGTTAAGGGTGACAAGTTTTTCTGGTTAAAAAATGTTTTTTGGTTTAAAACAATCTTTTATATAAATCATCAGACTTCCAGAGTCCTTTCCCTTCCCTCTTCTTCCTTGCTAAGTCAGTGCCTGTGTATATGATGACACTCTCACGACCTTGTAAAGGTAGGTGTGATGGTTAATTTCATGTGTCGACTTGACTCCTCTAAGAGATGCCCAGACAGCTGGTAAAACATTATTTCTGGGTGTGTCTGTGAAGGTGTTTCTGGAAAAGATCAGCATTTGATTCAGTGGATGAGTAAAGAGATTCACTTTCACCAATGTGTGTGGGTATCATCCAATCCATTGGGGGCACAAATAGAACAAAAATGTGCAGGAAGGGTAAATTCACTCCGCCTTTTTGAACTGAGATGTCCATCTTCCCCTGTGCTTGGACATCCAAGCTCCTGGTTCAAGGGCCTCGGTCTCCAGGACTCACATGAGGAGCCCCGTGGTTCTCAGGCCTTTGCATTCAGACTGAATTATGCCCTCGGCTTTCCTGGGTCTCCAGCTTGCAGAGTTCAGATTGTGTGACTTCTCAGCCTCCATAACCACGTGAGCCAATTCCTATAATAAATTCCTTATATCTATAAGTCAGCCCTCCATACCTGTGGGTTCCACATTCGCCGAGTCAACTAACCCTGGATTGTGCACTGTGTTTACCATCGGAGGTTGGTCGAATCTGCAGATGGGAAATCTGCAGAAATGGAAGGCCCACTAAGGGACTTGAGCATCCAAGGATTTTGGTATCAGCAGGGCTCCTGGAACCAATCCTGCACAGATACAGAGGGATGAGTGCATCTATATTTATATCTCTATCTCGCTATCTATCATCTGTATCTATCTATTATGTATACTTACACTTGCATTATTTCTATATCTATCTATATCATCTCCTATTGGTTCTGTTTCTTTGGGGCTGGATCTCATGGTATGTGAGTTTAAGATTCTGATATATATTGCCAAAATGTTTGCTATAGAGGTTGTACCAATTGCATCCTACCAACCACAGATTGGAATGTTTGTTTCCTTTGATACAGAAAAACAACACAATGTTACCATATTTTGGGATCATTGCCCATATGATAGGTGCAAAATGATATCTAATTGTACTTTTGATTCAGATTTCTCTTACCTGTAGTGCTGAAACTTTTTTCAGGTCTTTGAAAGCCATTTTTTCCCCTTTATTGTGAACTGTGTACTTCCCCTATTTTCCTTTGAGGATATTGGTTGTTTCCTTATTGATTTGTAGAGACATTACATATACTAATTAAGGTAGCTTTTGTCTATAATATACATTGCAAATATTTTTCTCAGTTTATTCTTTGACGTTTGACTTTGTGCTTTTTTTCTTCTAGGCAGAGCATTTTTTATGATATGTGGTCATATTTACCAATCCTCTTTTTATGGCTTCTGAATTTTGTGGCATACTTGCAAAGTCTTTCCCTACCCCAAGATTATTTAAAAAACTCTTCATATTTTCTTTTAATGCCTTTATGATATTTTATCTTTACATTTAGTATGTAATTAATTTTGCTATGAAGAATAAAGAGTGATCCAACTTATATTTTTACACAATTTGCTACCCAATTTTCCCATTAGTATTTATTGAATAATCTATTTTCCCCCACTGATTTGCAAGTCTACCTATATAATATTCTAGATGTCTATATTCCATTCCATTGCTCTGTCTATTCATATACTTGTATTATACTGTTTTGATTACTGTATCATTTAACTACGGTTTTTTATCGAGTATAATTGACATAAAACATTATATTACTTTCAGGTCTACAACATAATGATTCAATATTTGTATATATGCAAAATGACCACCACAATAAGTCTAGTTAACATCCATCACCATACATACTTACAAAAATTGTTTTTCTTGTGATGAGAACTTTAAGATCTACTCTCTTAGCAACTTTCAAATATACAATACAATATTATTAACTATTGTCTCCATGCTGTACATTATCTTCCTGTGACTTATTTATTTTATAATTGGAAGTTTGTATCTTTTGACCACCTTCACCCATTTTACCCACCCCCGACACCTGCCTCTGGCAACCGTCAATCTGTTCTCTGTACCTATGAGCTCAGTTTTTTTTCAGATTCCACATATAATTGAGATCATAAGGTATTTGTCTTTCCCTGCCTGAGTTATTTCAGTTAGCATTATGCCCCAAAGATCCATCCGTGTTGTACAAATGGAAAGATGTCCTTCTTTTTTATGGCTGAACAATATTCTATTGTATGTACGTATAGCACATTTTCTTTATCCATTCATCCATCATTGGACACTTAGTTGTTTCCATCTCTTTGCTGTTGTAAATAATGCTGCTATGAATATGGGGGTGCAGATATCTCTTCAACATAGTGTTTTCATTTCATTCAGATAGATTCCCAGAAGTGAAATTGCTGGGTCATGTGGTATTTCTATTTTTAATTTTTTGAAGAACCTCCATACTGTTTTCCATAGTGGCTGCACCAATTTACTTTCCTACCAACAGTGCATAAGGGTTCTCTTTTCTCTACATCCTCACCAACACTTGTTATTTCTTGTCTTTTTTGATAATAGCCATTCTAACAGTGTGAAGTATATCTCACTATGGTTTTGATTTGCATTTCCCTGATTATTAGTGATGTTGAACTTCTTATCTTGTACCTGTTGGCCATCTGTATGTATTCTTTGGAAAATGTCTATTCAGATCCTCTGCCCATTTTTTGATTGAACTATTTGTTTGCTTGTTTGTTTTTGCTACTGAGTTGTATATATTTTGAATATTTTGAATATTAACTCTTTATCAGATATATGATTTGAAATATTTTCCCCCATTTGGTAGGTTGATTTTCCATTTTGTTGATGATTTCCTTTTGCTGTTGCAGAAGATTTTTAATTTGATATAGTCTTGTTTGTTGATTTTTGCTTTTGTTGCCTTTGCTTTTGGCATCAAATCCAAGAAAACATCGCCAAAACCAATGTCAAGGAGCCTACCATCTAAGTTTCCTTCTAGGAGTTTTATGGTTTCAGGTCTTGCATTCAAGTCTTTAATCAATTTAGAGTTGACTTTTGTGTATCATATAAGATAGTGGTCTAGTTTCATGTGGCTGTCCTGTTTTTCCAACATCATTTGTTGAAGAGACTGTCTTTTTCTCATTGTATATTCTTGGCTCCTTTGTTGTAAATTAATTGCCCATGTATATGTAGGTTTATTTCTGGGCTCTCTATTCTGTTCCATTGATCTGTGTCTGTTTTTATGCCACTAACATACTGTGTTGATTACTATATCTTTGTAATATAGTTTGAAATCAAGGAGTGTGAGGCCTCCAGTTTTATTCTTCTTTCTCAAGATTGCTGTGGTTATTTTAGTTTTTTTGTGGTTTCATACAAATTTTAGGATTATTTCTTCTATTTCTGTGAAAAATGCCATTGGAATTTTGATAGGGATTGCATTGAATCTGTAGATTACTTTGGGCAGTATGGACATTAACAATATTAATTCTTCCAATCCATGAAAATATTTTTTCATTTATTTGTGTCTTTTTCAATTTCTTTGATCAGTGCCTTATAGTTTTCAGTGTATGTCTTTCATATCCTTGGTTAAATTTATTCCTAGATATTTTATTCTGTCTGATACACTTGTACATGGGATTGTTTTCTTAATTTCTCTTCTGATAGTTTGTTATTAGTGTATAGAAATGCAATAGACTTTTGTATATTGATTCTGTATCCTGTAATTTACTGAATTCATTTATTAGTTCTAATGGTTTTTTTTGTTGTTGTTGAGGAAGATTGCCTCTGAGATAACATCTGTGCTGATCTTTCTCTATTTTATATGTAGGAAGCCACCACAGCATGGCTTGATGAGCAGTGTGTAAGTCTGCACCTGGCATCCAAACCCATGAACCCTGGGCTGACAAAGCACAGCATGTGAACTTAACCACTATGTTGCTGGGTTGGCCCCCTAACAGTTTTTTTGATGGAGACTTTAGGGTATCATGTCATCTGCAAATGGTAACATTTTAACTACTTTATAATAACATTCTTGTGT